GTGGTGAAGACGCCAGTGGACTCCACCACGTACTCAGTGCCAGCACTGCCCCACTTGATCTTGGAGGGCTCTCGCTCCTGGAAGATGGTGATGGGATTTCCATTGATGACAAGCTTCCCATTCTCAGCCTTGACAGTGCCATGGAATTTGCCATGGGTGGAATCATACTGGAACATGTAGACCATGTAGTTGAGGTCAATGAAGGGATCATTGATGGCGACAATATCCACTTTACCAGAGTTAAAAGCAGCCCTGGTGACCAGGTGCCCAACACGACCAAATCCATTAACTCCGTCCTTCACCTTCCCCATGGTGTCTCAGGGATGTGGCTGCCGATGGTAGACAAGATGCGGCTGTCTGGCGAACAGGAGGAGCAGAGAGCAATTTTTGTATTTTTTTTAAGTGGACACAGGGTTTCACCATATTGGCTAGGTTGGTCTCAAACTCCTAACCTCAAGTGATCTGCCCACCTCAGCTTCCCAAAGTGCTGGAATTACAGACATGAGGCACTGAGCCTGGAAAGGCCTGCAATTCTGCAGCTGTGTGAGGGATGGAGAGGTTGGGGTGCCAGTGGGCCTCAGTCCTGTTACGAGGTTATCACATAGAGAACACAAAATGTCTAATCCTGCCTCAGCCAACCATCTGCCTACCCACAAAACTCCTCAGGAAATATCCAGGGAACAGAGGCAGAGCAAGGAAAAGGAAATGTTGCCTTTATTCAGTTGTCCCATGAATTCCCCTCTCCTCGTGTTTCCTTCCAGGTGTCGGGATGTCAAGGAGGGCAATACCCTGGTCTCCCTCCACGCCTCCACAGACTCCCAGGGCCGACGGCAGGTCCGTGCTTCCAATTCTACGGGAGCTGGCATCTCCCAGTTTCCCAGTCCAGAGGTTGCCCTGGTCCAGAGCTGACTGTCGGAGGAAATCTGCTTGCTCCCAGTGTAAGCCACATTTTCTAACACCAGCTTTACTATTAGCAAAAGCGACAATCTGATAACCATATGCCTTATTTCTCCTTTTTTGTCCCTTAACTGCTTCAGAAGTTGTTTAAAAACAAGCATTTCCTTTACTATGCCCCCTTACACCCTAAATTTAACATTATTTGGTGCTTTGGCCCGAAACTCCAACCTCTATTAAACTGAGTTGAACCATGTGCAGTATGTCTTTGGCCTAGGCTTGAGCTCAATGCATTTTATTGTCCCTAAGTCCAATTCCCAAATTAAAGGGGTAAGCTTCAACCCGAGGAAAGGCCTCAGCGCAGCCTCAGTAGGTGCAGAGTAGGCAAACCCACTTGTCCCATTAGAGCCCACAAGGAATGGTAGCCAGGAAACCAACCAATCTGACCACCGTCCTTGCTCTTTGGGAGGAAGCGAGGAGAGGGAGAATCATTTGAATCATTTGGGGGAGGAACAGAGAAGGACTTGAGGCCCACAGACAGAACAGGAAAAATAAGAGAGGCCTGTTGAAGAGGTGGAACCAGCTGGGCACAGTGAGTGAATTCACCATGTGGGAGGAGTCCTGATACTCCTGGCTTGGGAACCTGAGTGGATGGAGATTCCGTTCACTGGGATGGTGATGCAGCAGTGCAGAAGGAGGAGGGAGTTGTCAGGTCTGGGCAAAAGAGAAAGTAATTCTGCAAGACTCTAGAAGCAGATATGGCTCACGCCTTGCGGGACACCCTTTCATTCCAGAGGCCCAAAGGATCACTGAAGTTTGTCACATACAAGAGACCAATAAAGATGGGTTAATAGAAGCTATTAAAAGCCTGAAGTTTGATTTGTTTGACAAATATTTAGTGAGCACCACTGTATGTCAGATGTTGTGCCCAGATCTGGGAATATACATGGGGTGAGCAAAACAGTTTTAGCTCTGCCCTTGGGAGTTTAGGAAGGGTTCTCCAGCTTCATCCTGTTTGTTGATCCCTGTAGGGGCTGGGAAGTCGAATAAACTCATGATGTCGGGAACGGAAATTCCAAGCAGTGTCCTTTCCATCTCCCTTTGCTCAATTAAAAAATTTATCATTATGTACATATTATGTAGATCTCCGTAAGACTGTGGATAAGCGGGCTGTGTCCAGGGCCCAACTCCTAGTGAGGACTAAATAAATATCACTTTGTCTCTTTCCTCTCTCCCCACCTGAGCGCTCCAATGACCACAGGAGGCATCAGACCCACACAACTGCACTAAAAGGGTCTTGTTTGGGGATTTGCCTTGTTTGGAAGGAAAAGCCCCTGGCTGCTCCCACCTCTAAAGACTTGAGTGGCCACAAGACCTCTCACTTCCCTTGGCCTATTTCCATACCTAAAATAGATGGGGCTGGCCTAGGTCAGGAGCTCCGCCCCTGGCTGTACAAACGCATCACCTGGGAAGTGCTGAAAAACCCAGACGATGGGTTACACGTGTGGAGATTCTGCTTCACGAAGTCTGGGCTCAGAGCTGGAGGTCTGTGTTATCAACAGCTTTTCTCCTGTAGGGATTCTGGCACAGCCTGGAATCCAGACCAACCCAGGCAAAAATAGCCCAGCTAAGCTCCTGGATGACCTGGGCTTGTCAATGAGGCTGAGGACTCGGCTGTGGTTTTCGACAGGGGCATCAGGATGGCTGTGGGGCTTTCAACCTTGGAGAAAGCCCAGCGGGCAGGCAAGCACCTGAGAGAGAACAGGAGTGAGATAATGGGAAGCACCGGCTTCCTGCTTCTGGGGTCTGAGGACATAAGTCAGGCCTGCCCATGGAGATGCTCCCAGATCACACTCCCTAAGAGCCCCAGGATGCATCAGACCCAGCTCCCCGGGGAAAGAGTCTGCTGCTGGGGATTCCCTTGTCTTGAGCCTTGGCAGACAGCTCAGGGTAAAGCATTAGGACAGTGGTCACTCCAGAGGGCTTCTAAGAAAGAGTTCTTCTCCCTGCCAGCTGCCCCCTGTGGCGGCTGGGAGCAAGGTGCTGCCTTCAGCTTCCTAAGGAGACACTTGTGTCCTTTCTGCAGCTTCTTCCTGGCCCTCTGGACTCTGCCCTCGCAGAGTCTGGGTCCAGGGGCCGGGTCCTTTGCATGATCCTCAGAAGGCTCTGGATGTTCAGAGCCCCTCTGCTGGCCCTCCAGTGCCATAGAGCTGTGTGTGGCTGCCCTGTGCAGCACTTGAGGGTCATCTATGGGGAGATAGGGTGCAGCCAGCACATGCTGTGTGAGCAGCAGTCTAGCTGCGTGCCTCTGGGCTTCCACAGGGCTCCAGAGGCTGATGCCCTCCCGTTATGAGGTGGGGAAGAGTCAGAATCACAAGCAATCAGGAAAAGCCCACCCTGGCTCTCCAGATGGTGCAGGCGAGGAAGGGTGCTGGGAAGGCCTCTATGGGGACTCAGGAGAGGGGCTGAGATGTGTTCTGAAGCCCATGGGTGAGTGGCCCTTGGGAACAGAGTCCTGCTTAAGCATGATCAGTTCCAGTAAACAGGGAACCATTGTAGGGATATCTCATGGGAATCCAAGCACAGGAAGATCTGCATAGCTCAGCTTCAAAAAGACAGAAATCCATCTAGACCACACTATCCTCTCTCTCTGTCTCTCTCTTTCCCCCACCCTCCGCCACCCTCCACCACCCTCCTCAAGTTCTTGCAATCACTTCTTGGAACCTCTGCCTCTCCCTGCCCATCTGCCCTGTTCTCTCTCCTGCCAGCTTGCTTTACTCATACTTTCTATTCCCTCTTAACTGATTCTCTGCTTTGGCAATACCATTTTTTGGTCCCTCAGTTTCCCCATTCAGAATGAACCAAGAGAGAAATCTAATCAGCCTTTCTCACACCAACATCCTTGTTCTAACAGCAGTTAGATGGAGTTCTTTAGAAGGGGAAAATAACAGTGATAGATACAGGGGGCAGATAGGGGTGGGTCCCCAGAGAATCTCCGACTGGCCTGCGTACTGGGAGAAGGTGGTGGAAGCATGGAAGTTCACACCGTTTGCAATTGGGAGGAGCCTGGCCTCTTCAGTTCCTATGTGGTGGCCTGGGATTTAATCTGTAAGGTAGACGCCTGCTAGCAGGACCCCCTCTCATTTTGCTGAGAGTTCTTCTTTCTTTTTTCCCTCTTCACCCAATAAATCCTGCTCTACCCACCTTCAGTGTGTTCATGTGTGTAAATTTTCCTGGTCGTGTGATAAGAACCTGGTTTTTCTGCAACAATATCACCTAGCAGAAGAAAGAATTACAATCTGAAGATAGATGATAATATTAAGCAATCCAAAGAACAAAAATAAAAAGAACGAAGAAGAGGCCAGGTGTGGTGGCTCACACCTGTAATCCAAGAACTTTAAGAGGCCAAGGCAGGCAGATAACCTGAGGTCAGGAGTTTGAGACCAGCCTGACCAATATGATGAAACCCCTTCTCTGGCCAGGCGTGGTAGCTCAGGCCTGTAATCCCAGCACTTTGGGAGGCCGAGGTGGGCGGATCACCTGAGGTAGGGAGTTCGAGACCAGCCTGACAAACATGGAGAAACCCCATCTCTACAAAAAAACAAAATTAGCTGGGCGTGGTGGCGAATGCCTGTAATCTCAGCTACTAGGGAGGCTGAGGCAGGAGAATCGCTTGAGGTGGAGGTTGTGGTAAGCCAAGATTGCACCATTGCACTCCAGCCTGGGAAACAAGAGCGAAACTCCATCTCAGGAAAAAAAAATGAATGAAGAAAAATAAACAGAGCCTCAAAGAAATGTGGGGCATCATTAAGCACACTGCCATACATGTAAGGGGAATACAATATGCACAGAAGAAGAGAGAAAGAGCAGAATAAAAGTCAAAGAAATAATTGGCTAAAAACTTCCCAAACTCACTGAAAAGCATTAATGTACAAATCCAAAGAGCTGAACAAACTCTATGTAGAATAGACACAAAGAGATCCACACTTACACATATTAGTTAAAAAATAAAACTATGCTAGGCACAGTGGCTAACACCTGTAATCCTAGCACTTTGGGAAGGCTGAGGCCAATGGATCATCTAAGGTCAGGAGTTCGAAACCAACCTGGCCAACATGGAAAAACCCTGTCTCTACTAAAAATACAAAAAATTAGCCAGGCGTGGTGGTAGGTGCCTGTACTTCCAGCTACTTGGGAGGCTGAGGCAGGAGGATCACTTAAACCTGGGAAGCAGATGTTGCAGTGAGCTGAGATCGCGCCATTTCACTCCAGCCTGGGCAACAAGAGTGAAACTCCATCTCAAATAAACAAACAAACAAAACCCTGAAAAACTGAAATCTTGAAAACAGTAAGAGAAAATCAACTTCTCTCATAAAAAGGAGCCCAAATAAAATTAATAGCTAGTTCTTATCAGCAACAATGGAGGTCAAAAGGCAGTAAGATGTCATATTTAAAGTGCTGAAAGAAG